TGGCTTTTTTTTTCTACATTCCAATGTGTCATAGCACACTAATGCTCCATAGGTATTAAGGTTATATATTTCCATTGAAATACTTTAGAAGTACCTATATACGGCTCTACTTACCTACTCGAATACTTATAATTTTTAATTCAAATATTTCTCATTTTAATAAAAATGTCTAAAAATTCTCGGTTCATTTGATTTATAAGGTAAAAAAGAATGTGACGTAAAATTGTAAAATGGTTTGAAACCATCTAACTATATATTACCTATATATGGTTATAAAACATAATATGCAATAATTATACATCGTGCATTAGTGTGGCATTTTATGTCATTCAAATCATTCAATAGCCAGAGTAGGTAAGTAATATAATATTTCAATTACAATAAAATATAATATTATGATATCGGTATTGCAAATATATTATRTAAAATATAAGTATTATCCACGATTTAAGATATATCTTAAATCRTGGTATTATCTAATAGGTATAGGCTATATATGGCCTATGGGCATAATGAAATGATACACGTACTGGTGTCTGGTATACTATTTTGTCATACTTTTTCTCAGAAATACACAATATTTGAATTTAAGTAGGCAGGTACATCAAAAATTCAAAACTATTTGAATACTTTTACTCAATATTGGTACCTAATATAATATATAATATGTAACAACGCAAAAATCTTAGTTTGTAGGTAAAACCAAAATCAAAATAGTAGATATTTTATGAAGCAGATAGGTGCGTGCAAGAGTTTGCTACTTGACTGTCTATGTCTTGTAAGGGAAGAGCAGAAGGTACAGAGGTAATAATTATTGTGACCYGGCTACCCGCCATCCGCTCGCGTCTTCGTTTCCGGTCCCTCGATCTTTTATCTTAGTCCATGTTCATATTATCACAGATTACATAAAATCTTTATATAATCATTATAATCTATATTTATATACATATGTTTATATGCGGCTTTCAAATTTGTATTCAAACCTGTGTGTGTGCGAGTGATACACTCTGGTCACTCTGTTACTGTAAATTGTGATGCAAGTATAATTGTTGATTGTTGGTAGGTAAATTATCCATTAATTGTTATTAGTTGAGTATTTAACAATTAATGAGTTAGTATACTAGTATTGGTATTTCAACTTTTAACATTCGACAATCGATGGTCCAAACTCTAAGGTCTCATGTATTTTAAAACTCTTTTTGATCGATAGACAATAGAAATGATATTATATTCAATAAATTTATGAATCCCGATATATCGATTTTCATTTGTCTTAGTAGTTTTAATATATTATACATAATTGTTTCATATTCCTATTTATCAAATTTATTTTTCATCAATTAATTTAGTAAGTACCTATGTAAATAAGTTAGTGTAAGTTGTAAGTATTTTGTTTAAAATGTTTAAATTAATATCAAATTGTAATTCTTGTTTTTAGTTAGSTAGGGACTTATCTACTAATAGATAAAAGATTATCTATTGCAGATTTTATATCATCAGTATTTTTAATTAATTACTTGATACAGGCAGTAATACATAATACATAGTACATTCTTCATACTTAATATTAAAAATTTAAATCATGTTAAAAATTTTAAAAAGTAATTTTTCTCCTTTCATGGTACAAATGTACCACTTTTCATCTGGGATAATAGTAAACAAACAGCTCACGAAGAAAATGAAACATATGATACTTTGTAAGTTGTTCAATTTAGTTGATTATGATTTACATAGAAGTATATTAAAATATATTAACCTGTATTATGCTCAATATTAAATAATTATTAATTTGTATTCAATAAATTTTATCAGAAATGGGAAAATTTTTTTTGCTGAATTAAGTCTTTTATTAGACAAATTTTGAGCAAAGGTTAGCATTAAAATTGTATTCTAATTCTCATTTATTAATAATACTTTATCAGATTCCTTGCACATTTTTCTATTATACTTTTATAAAATTATAATATTCTTTTACCTTTGTCTTATTTTTCTATGAGCTATTGAGGTCCGTTGCCACAATTACTTAATAATTTCCTCTATCTTTAATCTACATAATTCTATACTTTTTACATGATTAACTGATAACTTATGAATTAATTACCCTTTTCACCATTGACTGGATACACATTTTGTTTCTGAGTTTCCGTATATATTGTAGTCATCCCATCTGATGCTACTCATTGTAGCGAAACCCTTCTGATCTCTAAACATGTACTTCTACGATTTGGGCTGGTCTTAGAGAACTATGCGCCTYGGACAATTAAAATTAAAGCCTCCTCTAATTCAGGTTAAGTAATTGAATTACAAAAACTATTATTAAAAGATTAATATCTGAATTCTGAARGTGTTCCTGATTTATAGGTGCTATGGGCGCTCTCCCGCCCCTAAAACCAAAACTGATTACGATTTGTACTACCTATGTTTTTGTACTTCTTGGTTTGGTCTATCTTATGTTTACCTGCAATTAMATAAAATACTCTAAAACAATACTAGCAAATCTATTTTTAAAATTAACTTTGTTACTCTAGTAGAAAAAGGGTTAATCAAACATAATATTTATAAAAACTACATTAACTGAAAATATTTTTATGTTCAAGATAAAACCAATTCAAACTTATATTCACTCATTCAAAATTGCAGTTTTGCTGATACATCTTCACCAATAATTGCAGATATTAATTATGAAAAATTGAAAGAGCTTATAAACCAAAATGAAGTGTTAATTATTGATGTACGTACTAAAGAAGAATTAGCTGCTACAGGAGTTTTACCAAATAGCTCCAATATTCCACGTGTGTATAACACATTATTTTTTTTGATAATTAAATTATTATTTACCTACCTATATTTTTGTTTTTATTTTAGTCGATGAGTTAAGTACTGCATTTGAATTAACACCTGAAATTTTTTTAGAAAAGTACTATATTCCTAAACCAGATAAAGATCAAAAAATCGTTTTTTCTTGTGCTAAGGGAATAAGGAGTTTAAAAGCATGCCACTATGTTACAGACTTGGGTTATAAAAAGTATTAATATTTTTGATTGACTTAAATTGTATAGACATGATAATATGAATCTTATTTAATTAATTTGATTTTAAGTGTTTTCAATTACACCGAAGGATGGTTTGGATGGGAGTCACACAAATGAATAAAAATACATTTTTATGCGTATGAATTTGTACCTACTCACTACTCGGCTTATATTTTAACAATTAGAGGATTGTTTTTGATTTAAAATTGTATTATTCATCTATGACTAAATAAAAATATTCGACATTGTTAAAATCTTATTTGCTGTAATTTATTATTTAAATACTACTTGTGGCTTAAACCAATTCTGTTCACTCACTTTTTCATCAAAACAATTTTAATGAAAACTGTTTTAATGCATTGGAGATGAATACAGTACTAATTGAAAATTAACTTATGTTATTGTCACATTATAAAAATGGTTTAGAATATATATTATATGTGTTACAATATAAAATCATATTAGTATTATCGCATAGGCTAATTATTATGTACTAATAGATAAAATAATATGAGTACATGAATATTTTCAGAATGGAGATATTAATGGACACTATTCTATATTAATTATTTATTTGTCTTCCAAAAATAATTTGATTAATTATCTGTATGCAAATATTTTCTTATAGGAATTACATAAACTTTAAATTGCTTGTGAGGTGGCAAAGAATTGAATATAACTTCACCTTTTTCATTCTTATATTCTTCGTAGAGCAAAGAATAGATACATTGAAACCCAAGTTTCTCTGCTGCACTAGCAGAAAAATTACTACTACAATCAACACGCACCATTGAACATTCGTTTTCCAATGCCAACTCTCTGAAATTTAAATTTAAATACATACCATTGTATTAAAAACATTATTTAAAATACTTCAAAACAAAAACAATATAAATAATATCACATATTATTTATACATAAAAAAAAACTAGTTTTTAGTTACTATACAGTACATAAGGCATAAATGTATGAAAATATTTCTAATTTTTCTAGGTGATTTAATTAAAAATTAATTTTTTGGTGATTAGGACACTATACACAAAAAATCAATATTAAATGATTAAAAAAATTTTCAAATCTTATCAAATATTTATAAGATAGCATCTTAATTAATTATTATTTAATAAAAACAAATTTAACAACTGCATTTTATAATTAATTAGGTATAATAATTAATTTTAATTTAATACTTATAATAGAAGGTCTGAAGGTATTTATTGGTTTTTAATTGTGTTTAATATCAWYATTTTDATTGGAATCAGTAGAGAAAATTATGAAGATTTAAACTGTAAAATTTTATAGTTTAAAAACTCCAACATGTCCAATCTTTTTTTTCATTGATTTCAATGCAGAGTTAATCCTTTTTTAGAACTATAGCATTGAGGATTTCATCTACCTATTATATATTTTAGACTTTAAATAATAAATTATGTTGATTACAAGGAGACATACCAGTAATGACTTTGACATTATATCTAAATGTATTTTTTTAATGTTAATAATTTCTCTTTAACCTTAGGATTGCCTGAAAATTAGGATCATAAGTGGAAATTTGATTTATTTATCGGGTGGGAGGGGAGGGAGTCGTACGCTTATAATTATATTATTAAAGGCTCTAAAGCAGATCTCTTCAATAATAATTCCAACAAGACAACTTAGAAAATTTTACAAACAATACCATTTTTAATTACTATTACTTATTATAGTTACTACTAAAATATTGTATGGGAATTAAACGATAAAAGAAAACAAATACAATTGGGTGCCTTACTCTGGTGACTGGTACATGTTTATTATTGACATTTATAGTTATTATAAATAGAAAATATAAGTTGTAAAAACAAAATAATGTGCAATTTTTCGAAAAAGAATCAATCTATAAATAAATATATTAATACGATTTGCCCAGCTTTGATTACATCCATGATTTTATTCTGTGCATACGTCCCTAACAAAAAAAAGTTGCATCTCACATGTGAGTATATGACTGAACTTTGTTAAGTTGCAGCCACCTGCAGAAGTGGATAAATATTTGAGTAGACATTCACTCAAATCTAAGYTTTTGAATCCTCCAAGAATATATCATATTTTTCAGTTGTTTAGGTAAAATAGTTATTTCAGATTGTAAATTATAAGCTATACCCAACAATTATAACTATTTATCAACATTAATTTAAATAATTTAATTTTTTAATTTATTAATAATATTTCCTAAATATTAAATCAATTAATTAAAGCTATCGGAGGAGATTCCTCAAGATGAACCACTATCTAAAATGGGAGGAAATTCAAGTAAATGATATTTTTGAAATCAGGAGGTAATTCATGAGTGAGTTCCCAAATAAATTATGTATAGTACATAATTTTGCTCTGGTTAACGATTGATTACCTAAAAAATAAAAATAATTGTGTATAGGATACCCATATTGCCAGTGGTGTATCCAGGGACCCCCCTGGACAGGGGCCATAAGTATATACCTAATTATATAAATATAAGTATACATATCACCGCCGGCTCAAGATATGATCACTGAGTTCAACAGTACAGGCGCTGAAATCAGGTGCGATCAGTGTCGCCGATCACCTAATTTATCAATGACATATGTCCAGGGCCGTATTTAGGGGGGAGCTACAGGGTACTGTTGCCCCGGGCGGCTAAGTAGGAGAGGGCGGCTAATTTTTTTATAATTTAAATTTGTATTTTRTATAATGATTAATGAGGCGTATTTTTTTTGTTGCCCCTTCGGTCAAATTCCTAAATACGGCCCTGCATATGTCATAGTAGATTTTATAGCTGGGGGGGCCCACCAAGAGGTACTGGGGCCTGGTTGTGGTTAGGTTGTGAAAAAATTAGGGTGGGGGGCCTCTGAATGTACRATGTCATAGTATTTTTTAAACACTTCGGCGCCGCTGGGTGCAATTGTCTGTTTATATGTTTAAAAAGAAGGTAAAGGGTGCCGAAATAGCTAGGGCTGGCCCTAACCTAACCTATATATGGATTGTGGGTATAATACATAGTAACAACTTTTAATTATTACTAAATAAATCTTTGATTTAAGATTATTGTTTATACCTATCCTTGTYAATAATTATTATTGTGCATAATTATAATATGTAACTATCAATTAATTTAAAAATTGAGTGTGTAACGTACTTGCTTTTATAAAAAAGAGCTTTACACACTCCTAGACCTCGAAATGCTTCATTCACAGCGACAACCTTAATATCCATTATTCGATTTACATCTGGGTATCGCTCAAATATATTTGATTCTTGGTCAACTTTTTGAAAAAGAGTCATGAACTCTTTAAACTTAACACAGTTTTCTTGGTCCTCCGTGTTGTAACTGCTAAAATTACTTTGATGTTCACTATCTCGAGCTACTATTTCATTGGAAATTACACCAATTAAATCTCCGTCCAAAGACACAGCTTTGAAAGTTAAACCTAAATTTATAAATAAGAAATTACATTTTTTTGTTATACCAATGGTTTATAAACCATAAAATAATTATAAACATTAATTAGATAAGTATAGTGAGCTTTTATCTCTTACGTTCAAAATTTTGAATGGTGAAATAAATCAGAGTTTGAGA